AAATTCACAAAAAAAAAATAGTAACACAGCGAAACACAGATTTACGTGGTTCGACAAATTGCCTACGTCCACGGAGTTGCAGATGATTTTTTTACTTGAAGAATTTATACCAATCGATTGTCTCGACTTACAAGAGCAAACTCTCTCTCACTTCTCTACTCTTCTCTCTCTATACCGAGATACATCGAAGAGGATAAACATACAAGAGAAATAAACCCAATTTAACATCTGCCACAAGCCACCAAGAAGAAGCCAAGGGAGAACAATCTTCTTCTTCTTCTTCTTCCTTTTGTCGCAAGGAACTATTGGTTGCACTTCTCTTCCTCTATCCCGAGGAAACCCAAAGAAGACACAAAAGAGATGTGCTAAATCAGAAACTACAATCTTCCAAGCCTCGTAAAACCTTGCAATCTTATGTTTCAGTCGCCAGGCTTCACTCGACGGAAGAGGCAAAGCTCCCCTTTTATTGCGGCTAAGAGAGGCACAAGAGCGAGAGCGGTTTTGCGAAGAGGCAAAGCGAAGTTTCGAGTCGCAGCAAAGCGGGAATGGGAGCGAGAGACGGAATGATGTTTCACGACAGAGTGGGAGCGGGAGCGGGTTCAAGGGCTCGGGCTCCAGCTAACAAATCTCCCACTTGGAGACTGATACACAGGCAACAACATCTCTTTCCTCAAACTAATTTCCTCCAATGGCGGTGACGTCTTTTTCTTCAAAGATAAATCATCCACTTTTGCAACTCAAAACCCCTGTCTTCACACCAGAAGACCAAATGAAGCTGTGCACAACTTCATTTTCTCAAGAGTAACACCCTCAATCAACATATCAGTAGGATCCACATAGCTTTACACCTCCAAGCAAATTCTTGGGTTACTCTTGTCTTTGCTTACAACTCACACTACATGGGCAATATCATGTATCTGCTGAAAGCCTTTTTCAACAAGTTTAGCCTTGTACCTCTTAGTGTCATCACACTCAGTCTTCACACTGTACACCCACTTGTTGTGTAATGCCTTCTTCCCTGGTGGAAGTTCTGCCAGCTCCCACTTGCTCGAACTTTCAACTTGCAATATTTCTTCATAATTATGTGGTTCTCCATCATCTGTCTGTGAAACAATAGGAATAAGTGCCCCAGAACCACTCTCCTTTTCACTTCCATCATCAATTGAACTATGAATTGTCAGCAATAGTGCATCTTGTACTTCTTTATATACAATATTTACACTATCATTCTCCATCTTCTTGGGATTCTTGCAGTTCTCTTTATGTGGCAAATCTTGCCACAATTCTAGTAGGTTACCTGCTGACCATAATTTGATTTTGATCTCCCTCTATTTGAATTCTTGTCATATCATCTCCCTCTTAAATCAACATTCAGTGTCGAACTCGTACCTGAGATCTCACCAAAATCTTTCTTGCGCCCCTCCTCAGTCAAAATCAAATCACGAATATCATCACATTTTAGTTTAGATTTACCTACAGAAATACTAACTATCATCCTCATGGCTTCCTAATTATTTGACAACGATACCAACAATATCAACACACGTATCTCATCATCAAAATCAATTTCAAAAGACGACAATTGATTCGTGATAATATTTGAAATCATTCAAGTGCTGAGCAACAGAAACACCTTCCACCATCTTCAAATTTAATAACTTTTTTATCAAGTACACTTTGTTATTCGCCAATGACCTTTCATACATACCTGATAAGGCTGTCATGAGATCTGCAGTCGTCCTCTCCTTAACGACGTTGTGTGCAACGGACCTCGATAAGGTTAATCGAATAAACCCCAAAACTTGTTGATCCAACAAATTCCATTCAGCCTCATCCATCCTTTCAGGTCTTTTCCCCAATAACGGAAGATGAAGTTTCATCTCATAGAGGTAGTCATCTATCTGCATTCTCCAATAAAAAAAATTTTTGCCATCAAATTTCTCGACCGCTGAAACCTTCACTTCATATGCAACCATCGTCTTTCCACGGATCCGAAACACGGGTCTCATACAAGTTGTTATGAGATATATATATATATATATATATATACATATAATAAAATAAAACAATCGACAATAAAGCAAAAATTGGAACAAGAAAATTCACACTAGAAAACAACAACACAGCGGAATACACATATTTACGTGGTTCGGCAAATTGCCTACATCCACGAAATTACAGAGGATTTTGCTACTTGAAGAATTTACACCAGTCGATCGTCTCGACTTACAAGAGCGAACTGTTTCTCTTATTTCTCTACTCTTCTCTCTCTACACCGAGATACACCAAAGAGAATAAACGTACAAGAGAAATAAACCCAATTTCTCTTCTGTCACAAGCCACCAAGAAAAAGCCAAGGGAGAACAATCTTCTTCTTCTTTCTTCTTCCTTCTGCCGCAAGAAACTACTGGTTGACTTTCTCTTCCTCTATCTCGAGGAAACCAGAAGAAGAACACAAAAGGGTTGTGCTAAATCAGAAGCGGCGATATTCCAAGCCTCGTAAAACCTTGCTATCTCACGTTTCAGTCGCCAGGCTTCACTCGACGGGAGAGGCGAAGCTCCCCTTTTATCGCGACTGAGAGAGGCACAGGAGCGGGAACGGTTGCAACAAAGCGGGAAGGGGAGCGGGAGACGGAAGTCGCGACGCTTAGCGACAGAGCGGGAGCGGCTCCCGTTCACAGGTTCGGGCTCCAGCTAACAAAATTATACTTGCGGCGTCCGCACCTGTGCACACTCAATAGGAGGATAGAGGGGGCGGGAGAGAGAGAGGGGGTCCCGCCGCCTCTCTCCTCTTATTGGGAGTCGGCAGGTGAGAAGGTCGCACCAAATATTTTTTCCATGAAAAACCAATGAAAAGATCAAAGATATTTGTTATTATTGTTAGTCGGGGGAGAAAAGTAAGTAAAATAATAGGGTACGCCAAAAATGAGCATGTGAGTGTCCATTTTTCAGCTTGAAAAAGACAGACTCCTGCATAAACTATCCAGCTAAATACCACAAAAAGCCATAGCAATGTAGGCCCAATGATAAGAAATGAGACTAGTGAGCATCTGTTCTAGTGATTGCCATAAGGAAGGAAACCAAAATACCAAACGAAAACCCCTTGAAGATTATCCATAATATTCAAAGAAAACGGCTATCAGGGCAGCTTTTCTTAGTCAAACCACCTTTTTCGGTTCGTTCATGAACCAATAATGCTTTCACGTGTGATTCTTTGTATGATTAAGTTTGTGGGGGAGCCCCATTCAGCTTTAACGTACAAAAAAACTTCATAAAAGAAATAATAAATAAATAAAAGTTTAATGGGTTCGCTCATTCGTGAGCACACAACAGCTTTTGGATCCTTTTATTTTTCACTAGAATGAGAAATTTTTATGCGCGGTGGTTAGATTCGGACCGTTGCTCGGACATACGATTAACCACAGTCATTTTAGCACAAAAATGACTAGATGCTTCTCTCTTTACATTATCCTTTCAAGAAGCGCATCCTTCCCCCATCCTAACATTCAGCTTGTGCGTTTCAGGATAAACAGCTTATCCTAAAACGCGGCCCGCGGGGATCGACCCGCGGCCTGCGCTTTGTGTTAAAATGGAAACGCGTTTTCAAATAAGTAGACAAAATGCGCGATCCAAATGGTGTCGCGGCGTTTTCAAAAAATGCCCCCACACTTATAAGCTGTTCCAAATGGACCATCATACTCGTCGCCACAATCATCATGACAGTCTAGCCGAATTCTCCTAGGCCGATTCTGATGTGAAGAGACAAATTGATTCAATCAACTCGACATACCAATTTCGAAGACCTTCTAAAAACAAGTTTGGTCAGTCAATTTCTCCAATCAATTGTGTCGTGCAACTCGATAAGTTAATCTGGTCATCCAATTTGACAAATCATTTGGCTAATCAATTTCACAAGTCAACTCAACTTCATGTAATCAATCAAAGTCGAGCAAATCATTAAACCTGAGAGTCAAATTGGGTTTACGAGTCGGGTTCGAGTTTGACTCGTAATTGATTTGATTTGAAACTGCATGATCCGAACCGGATTTTCAGAAAGTCCAACTCGAACCCAACCCTCCTTCAAACAAGTGACTCAAACTTGACTTTTATAACACATTTAATATAAGAAACAACAACTATTCAGGTCAAAAAAATGACCAATTTTAACTCAATCTTGATCAATTTCGGGCATCAGTTTCAGTCTTAATAGAACAATTTTGGGTCAATTTCGGGTGGAACTGTCAATCCAAACCCTGTTATGCAAAAACAATGTATAAACTAAAAAAATTACAGAATAACAATCAAACACAAATGATTCTTGTGATTCGGCTTTGAATTGATTCCACTACAAGAAAACTATGAATTACTGTCAGAATTAGCACAAAATTATTTTCAATGCAAAGTTAGTGACCGATTAGCGTCCATTAGTGTCGCCCTATGATTCCGCTTCCAAAAGAAACGATGCAGGCGAGTTGCATCAAGCAGAAGTCGCTAAGACGATGCTATAGTGTCAGCTATGGCCAATGCTAATCTTACTTATTAGCATCAAAATTTATATATCTCATCCCAAAGTCATGGCCGACGCTAATTCCGATGCCAATTCATATGAAAATTTTGGTGTGAGATATATAAATGCATAAGAAAATTGTGGTATGTATGTAAATATGAAATTAAGGTTTGAGATATGTGAATGCATAAGAAATTTTTGTTATATATGTAAGTATGAAAATCTTGGTGTGAGATATGTAAATACATAAGAATTTTGTGTTATGTGTGTAAATATAAAAATTTAGGTGTGAGATATGTAAATCCATAACAAATTTCTGCTATACATGTAAATATGAAAATTTAGGTGTGCGATATGTAAATTCATAAGAAATTTGTGCTATGTAACTATGAAACTTAGGTGCGAGATATGTAAATGCATAAAAAAAATTGTGCTATGTATGTAAATATGAAGTTTAGGTGTGAGATATGTAAATAAAAAAAAAAATTGTGCTATGTATGTAAATATTAAAATTTAGGAGTGAGATGTGTAAATACATAAGAAATTTGTGCTATGTAAATTAACAGATCTACTAACAGATTTGTGAAGTCATTCACGTGCTCATCAATAGTAACCCCCCATCTCATTTGAAATCTGTAGAGTCGATGTTTCATATGCAAATGGTTCTCCATGCTCTTCATAAGATATTTGTTTTTCAACATCCTCCATAATTTTCCTGCAGAAGTCTCCACCATCACCACATATATGATTTCCAGGGTTAAGCAATTTCTTTTCTCTGTTTTTTTTTATATTTTGTTTCTAAGAGAAAAGAATATTTTTCTATTGAAAAAATTTCCCTCAAAATTTTCTTCTCTTCCCTTCCAAATTCCTTTTTCTGTTTTAAATCTTTTCAATGGGGCAAGCCATTTTTTCCTTTCACGCAATATTCTTTTGCTTTTTAAAAGGCCCCTAAATATTTAACTATTGTTTGGTTTTTTCATCATGCATACACCACAAATAATATAAACAACTTTTCAAGTGTAAATATTAAAAGAAATTGAAACAAGACATACATCAAGTCATCAAATAAGCAATTAAGCCATTAATAAATGAATATTATATCATTTCTTGGTGATCTAGTTGATAAACATCAAACAGAATTATTTAAGAATATAAATGGACAAGTTGGTAAATGTTCATGCTTTTTTATTTATATAATAAGTTTTTTTATGTTTTCTTTAAGTTTGTTTATGTAAATAAACAAGTATAAATGAGCCATACGAAAATGTGTATCAAGTATTGCAATGCGGGAGCTGAGTACCTCTTTTTTTAGACTAGGTCAATCTTGTAATTAGTGAATGTTCTCTTCTTAGGCTTTAGCTAGTTTACATATGCATGTGAGGGATATAAAAATCAGTTTTTGTCATTTTTATTTTTTCATTAATAGCAGTATAGTTGTTCGCTCAATTCTTTTTTTCCATAATTATTTAACCTGGAATCAGTGGGTGGCCATTCCAGGCGGTGAAACGGCCCCCAATTCCAGGTCTTGCACTTGAATTTGATCTTTCTTCAGTTGTTTTGGAATATTGTGGTAACATAATGTTGCCGCGAAAGATAATTAATGACAGATTCAAGAAGTTATGATTCGAAGTTTGGAATGGGAGATTCACCACTTACAAGAATGGCTTTCGAAGAGCGAGAGCTAGGGGAGAATGATGAGAATCCATTTCATCAAGAAACCTCAAGTGAAGATAAGCAACCCTGAAAACCTCTTAGAAAAGGACAACAACGATAATCCACATATTTCACACTCAAGAAAGATATTACAGACTTCGAAGGAAAATTGGATCTGGACAAGTTTATCAATTGGATGTATACCATTGAACAAATTCTTGAATTCAAAGAGGTACACCAAGCTCAAAAAAATTATCAAGTTGGTAGCAATCAAGTTGAAAAAGAATACCTCTCTTTGGTGGGAAAATATGAAACAAACACGTCAAAGGAGAGTTTTTGGGGGAGGGGGGGTTTAAAATCGCATCTAGAACTAGGATGAAAAATGAACTGCAGTGAAAATTCTTACCGAAACGTTATTGCCAAGTATTAAATAGTCTCCAACGAAAAGAACTATCAGTAGAAGAATATATTATTGAATTCAAAAAATATTGATTCAAAATGCAACTTGATCGAACCAGAAGAACACACTATCACATGCTTTCTAGATGAATCACGCCAGCCCTTTCCAACATATTGTAGCTTCAACTATATTGGACTCTTCAAGATGTTGTTAACTTCACACTTAAAGTTGAGAAACAACAAAGGTTTGGAAAAGAAACCAAAATAAAAATTCGATGGGGGATGGCACTATATTGAACAAGACTTGTGGTTTGAAATCAATACTAGAGGAAGACGAGGAGAGTCCAATCTGACAGAAAATAGAAATTCAATTCTGGGGCGGGAATGTCATTAAATCCTCTAAATCGAAAGTGTTTTAAGTGTCATAAGTTTGGTCACAGCTTGTTAGATATGACTCGTATACCATAAATGTACAGTCCTAAATCAAGAGCAGAGCAAAACGGAAGATTGTGTTCAAATCAGGGGAGTTTCCTAATGTGGGTTGGGGGTGTGGTACATGGGTAATTTGGTAATTACATATTGTACCAAATGTTTACTTTTTATATACTTTCTAGGGTTATAACGAGGCTTGTATGTAACCCTAGGAATTATCCCTGAATACTGTATTCTATTTTCTGAATTAGTGAAAAGCCGCCGCTCTACTCCCGAGGATGTAGGCGTCTTTGTCGAACCTCATTAAATCTTTGTGTTCTTCTGGATTTGCGCGATTCCTGTTTTTCTTCACCCTAATTTATCAACAAGTGGTATCAGAGCCTAGGTTCGAGGGCAAGGAAGAATTTTTGGCAGCGATTTTGCGGCTCTCTTGGGATCAGGTGAATCAGGACTCCTGCCAGTAGCCTTTGGCGACAGGCGAGAGGTTTGACTTCAGGTTCAGAGTTCTTCAGCGACGTGAAGGAGCAGTTCGACCTGTAGGAGATCGTGGATCGTAGGAGTTCGCGTAGGGTTCGAGGCGACGCTGTCCGGTTTGGGCGGTGCGGGAAGGAGGAGTTGGCGGTTCCGATTCCGAGAATCGCGGGAGGACTCCGGCTTCGGTGCTTCAAGGAGTTTCGGCTGCGGTCTGAGCACCTTCCCGAAACGGAGGACAAACCGGAGATAAAAGATTCCGGAAGGAATATTTGCACGAATTTTCTTTTTTTGCCTTTGCTGGAACGTTATTGCCAAGTATTAAATAGTCTCCAACAAAAAGAACTATCTGTAGAAGAATATATTGTTGAATTAAAAAAAAATTGATTCAAAATGCAACTTGATCGAACCAGAAGAACACACTATCACATGCTTTCTAGATGAATCACGCCAGCCCTTTCCAACATATTGTAGCTTCAACTATATTGGACTCTTCAAGATGTTGTTAACTTCACACTTAAAGTTGAGAAACAACAAAGGTTTGGAAAAGAAACCAAAATAAAAATTCGATGGGGGATGGCACTATATTGAACAAGACTTGTGGTTTGAAATCAATACTAGAGGAAGACGAGGAGAGTCCAATCTGACAGAAAATAGAAATTCAATTCTGGGGCGGGAATGTCATTAAATCCTCTAAATCGAAAGTGTTTTAAGTGTCATAAGTTTGGTCACATCTTGTTAGATATGACTCATATACCATAAATGGACAGTACTAAATCAAGAGCGGAGCAGAGCAGAAGATTCTGTCCAAATCAGGGGAGTTTTCTTATGTGGGTTGGAGGTGTGGTACAGGGGTAATTTGGTAATTACATATTGTACCCAATGTTTACTTTTTATGCACTTTCTAGGGTTATAAATTAGGCTTGTATGTAACCTTAGGGATTATCCCTGAATTCTGTATTCTATTTTCTGAATTAGTGAAAAGTCGCCGCTCTGCTCCCGATGACGCAGACATCTTTGCCGAACCCCGTTAAATCTTTGTGTTTTTTTGAATTTGCATCGATTCATGTTTTTCTTCGCCCTAATTTATCAACAAGTGATATTAGAGCCCAGGTTTGAGGGAAAGGAAGAATTTTTTGCTGCGATTTTGCGGCTCTCTTGGGATCAGGTGAAAGCACGGCTCCTGCCAGTAACCTTCGGCGACATGCGAGAGGTTTGACTTCGGGTTCGGAGTTCTTCGGCGACACGAAGGAGCAGTTCGACCTGTTGGAGATCGTGGATCGCAGGAGTTCGCATAGGGTTCGAGGCGACGCTGTCCGGTTTAGGCGGCGCGGGAAGGAGGAGTTGACGGTTCTGATTCCGAGAATCGCGGGAGAAGGACTCCGGCTTCGGTGCTTCGAGGAGTTTCGGCTGCGGTCTGCGCACCTTCTTGGAACGGAGGACAAACCAGAGAGGGGATTCCGGAGGAAATATTTGCACAAATTTCCCTTTTTTGCCTTTACTGGACAGGACGTTGTCTTTACGGGACAGGAGGTTGTTCTTGCTGACAGAGCCTCCGCGCCTTTCCTTCTCTGGAGGCCTCTCTAGAATATTCTCGGAATATTCTGTGGAAGGGAGGAGAATTGATTTTGCTTGGCCGCAGGAAGGATTCCAAGAGAGAGTAAATGTTTAATTAATTAAGGAAAACTTAATTAAAGAAATTTAATTAAACAAAATTCCTTAATTAAGGGAAGAGCTTTTCTTATTTTGAAATGATTTACTGCTTCACGAATTTTCTTGGAAATAGTTATTTCTGGCTTCAAATTTTTGGCAACTTAGTAGAGGAGTTTGCAGAAGTTTTGTTGCAGGAGTTATTTTTCAGATGACATTTTCTAGTGCAAAATTTGAAGTGGTGAAGTTTGATGGAACTGGTAACTTGGGATTGTGACAAACAAGGGTGAAAGATTTGTTGGCTCAACAAGAAATCCTAAAGGCTTTGCGGGCGACGAAACTTGATGCCATAGAAGATGAAGATTGAGAAAAATTGCAGTAGCGATGATACGTCTATGTTTGACAGACGAGGTTATGTATCACGTGATGAATCTGAAATCTCTATGAAAAGTTTGGAAGAAATTAGAGACTTAGTTCATGACTAAATCTCTGACGAACAAGTTGATCTGAAGCAAAAGCTGTATGGGCTGAAAATGCAAGAAGGCTCTGATCTGGTGCAGCACGTGAATGACTTCAATCAAATAATCACTGATTTATCACGGCTTGATGTGAGTATTGAGGATGAAGATCAAACGATGATTTTGTTGTGTTTGTTGTCCTCTTCTTATGAACACCTGGTGACTACTCTGACACATGAGAAAGAAACTATCAAAGTTGATGATATTACTGCAATGTTATTGACTCACAACCAGCGGAAGCAGAATGCAGGAGAAAGCACTCATGGTGACAGTTTATATGTGAAGAGTAAGCATGATCGTGGAAGGAAGAAAGAGAATGAGGATTCTGGAAGGCGAAATTTCAGATCGAAGTCCAAAGGCAAAAAGACAATTCATTGCTACGGTTGCAAGGAGTCAGGTCATATGAAGCGAGATTGTCCAAAGCTGAAGAAACAGATTGGGGAGAAAGGTGATGCATCATCGAAGTCTGTAAATGTGGTGCAGAGTGACAATTTAGATTGCAGTGATGGTGATATGTTCTCAGTTCTATCAACTCAGTTCACGAATGCATGGATTCTTGATTCAGGGTGCTCTTATCACATAACACCTAACA